CCTTAAAATGGTAAGAACTACTACCACTTTCTAAGCACATTGGTCGACTTTGCGTTAGTATGATACAGAATGTTTACGCTCAAAACTCATTAGAAGTTGGAAATTAGTTAACTGCTAGCAAAAAAAATAAAAAGCTGAATATGCTGTTAAATTTCACCATTTGTCTGTATTGTCATTGTCAGATTAACTGTACTCTTGTCATTGTGAGTGCGCTGCTGCTGGCGCTGGCTGCTGGAAAACCTTGTGGTAAGATTTAGTACATCATTTAGTTTTTCTTTTCTTTCTGTTTTCCCCCCTTTTTTATTTTTTTATTTTTGCGATTTTGATTTGTAGTCATCATTTGGTCATGTGGTGGGGAAATGACAGAAATCCCGTCATTGCGCAATACGCTTGCCCTATTTCTACAGCAATACCTTTACGAAAAGTACTGTACCAGTAGCCTACCATAGTACAAATGATGGACATAGAAGGTTCTTTGGTATATACAAAGATACGGAATCATTACCATATTTATATATTATTCAGGCATTTTAAATCAAAGATTGCCACAGAAATACAATATGTCCAAAAGAATAGTAGTCTATAACTTTTTGGTGTTTTTTAATTTTTATTTTGTTATTGAAGGTTTAGATGTTTTTCCAGAATGTTTTATAGATTTTTATTGTTTATCATCCTGTTGTATAAATTTGTTATCCTGTATAGTCTACAATTATAAAGTCTATAAATTATTCTGTGTATATCATAATAACCTATAATGTACTATGCTGTAACCAATTCATGTAACCAATAATGTACTATTCTGTAATCCAGTTACTCTACCGTATTCATAACATTCAGCATATTCTTACTGAGTCATTTCTGTTTGTCCTGTCAGCAGGAGTTCTGCTCAGAATAATTGGAATCATTTCACTCTGTTCTTTGCCCTCGCTTTTGTGACTGTGACAATTCTGAGACAACGTGTATTTTATGGGTTGAATGAGTAGGTGAAAAAAGGTCGCTGTGACCTGTATTGCTGAGGCAGCGGTGAACATAAACCAACTATACTGTACAGTGGCACTTTAAAAGAAGCAACATTGCTCAATGAGAACAGTGATGCAACATTTATGATAGTCTGCATTTAATTTCATACTCTCAGTTTTCTTGCTATCATCTTTCATGCTATCAGCTTCAGATCACGAGGCTCTTCTCCTGTCCGTCAATAAGCAGCTGCTGCAGTCAGTGGACACGCAAGAGACCCTCCCCAATCCCAGTGTGCACATCGCCCTGCGGCTCTCAACACACCATAATCTAGCTAAAGAGAGTGAACATCTCAACCGCATAAAGGCAGAGTTTCATGATGATATTGAGAAGTATGGAACACATTTCACATCTTTCTCATTAAACTCTAAAACAGCTGTAAATTACTTCAGGAACGATTTTCACTGTAGTGGAAATAAATTCAATCCGTCCTGGTTCTGTGGTCATATATTCTATTCTATTCTATTCTAGAATATTGTTCTATTTCAACTGATTTTGGTTCTGCTTGTATTATTACTATTTATATATCTGTTTGCAGATCACTCAGAAATAATGAGTTGGTGGTTGGCCGTCTAGCTCTGTACATCTTGGCTTTAAAGTCTTCCTGTCATGATCTGGAGAGTGTACATCTCACTCATAATGAGATGAAGGAGTCTCTCCTCATTCACCTAAAGAAAGAGATGGAGGAAGAAAAACAGAACATTGCATGTAAGGGGCCATTTTTTGTAATAGGGTCCGGAAGAGTTTTTAATGTCTCTTATGCTTACCAACAACGCTGCATTTATTTGATTAAAAAGACAGTCAAAACAGTAATATTGTAAAATAGTATTGCAATTTTTTCTATTTTAATACATTTTAAAATGTAATGTATTCATGTGATGGCAAAGTGGAATTTTACATATTACTCCAGTCTTCAGTGTCACATGATCCTTCAGAAATCATTCTAATATGCTAAATGGCTGCTTATATCTGCTATTATATGGCTGCTATTGATATCTTGTTATCAATGTTGAAAACAGTTGTGCTGATTAATATTTCTGTGGAAAACTGTAGTAGATTTTTACACAGAAAGTTCAAAACAACAGCATATATTTGAAATGGGAATCTTTTGTCAAACCAATTTTAATGTATCCTTGCTGAATAAAAGTATTATTTAATATCTATATCTATATATCTACAGGTATATATGTCATTTTGTTGTACTGTAATTCTAATTTTAATATTCTTTTCTGCAGTCGGTCACCGTCCAAAGACCAACTACTACCAGTACTCTCTGGGCATTCTGGCTCTGTGTGTGAGCGGTGTTAGAGTCAGCGCACATGTCAGCCAAAAACTCATCCATGCTGTGGAACATAGACAGTTAAAACACGGAGAGTCCTTATGTGTCGGTGAGTTTAAATCAACTCTTTTTTTGGTTTAAAGAAATGGTTCACTGTAAATCCAAACCCAAATGACTTACTTTCTTCTGTGTTACACAAAACATTTCAAGCAATTACAATGAATGGAAACTGAAGCCTTCACACTTCAAAAAGGATGCGAAATACCATCAAAGTATCCCATATTTCAGATTTTGAAGATTCTGAAGCCATACAGCTTTGTGTGGGAAAGTGTCCAGCACAGCCAAAATTTCTCATTTTGTGTCCACCTTTTGTATTAAATTTAAGGAAATATGTGAATTTGTCCTGAGGTCACTAACTAATATGACTTCCTCCTTCACCCGTCAGACTCACATGCAGTGGCAGGCATGGCCCTGCAGTGTCTGAAAGACGAGGGAATTGCTGTTAAAGATACTGCAGAGCTAGACAGGGCTCTTGCCACCATTAAGCAGAGGCTTCTTGACTCTAAGAGAGCTGATGGTCACATGGGCAATGAGTTCAGTACGGGATTGGCGGTGCAGGTAAGAATGAAGATATGAAATATTTGGTTCAATGAAAAAGCCTTATTTGAGTGACAGGTTCTCATGGTTCTCTGTCTTACAGGCCTTGATGGCTATAGGCAGTCAGATGGAGGAATGTGGCTCTGCTATGGAGGCTTTAAGGGCAGAGGTTAAGAAAGGAACCTACCATAACCCTATGGCCATCTCTCAGGTCCTGCCAGCTCTACACCAACGCACTTACCTTCATCTGAAGAGCCAAGAATGCCGCAATGAGGATGGTATGTACAACATACATGCAAGCTCAGTGAAGTATCAATCAGCAGAATTGTATTTGCAGTCCTAGGTTTATTTTTCCAAAGAAAAATAAAATAGGCTGCATTTAGAGTATTTCAACGTTATATATTATATACAAAGTAGTATATGGTTAGGTTTTAGTATTTTAATCTCAAAATGAGTTTTCCTAATAACTTTTGTTTCTTTCTTCTTTTTGATTTTCCATGTGCTCCATGATGTGCCTGCTTTAGACACTCTGACTATTGATGCGGATTCCCCTTCAGAAGTCCTCCCAAGTCACGGGCAAGTGTCACTACAGGTGGAGGTTATTAAATCAAGCGGTGCATCGTCTGTGTTTTCCATTCATGTACCCAGGGGCTCCTCGCTATTTGAAGCCCTCAACCTTCTCCAAGACAAACAAACTGGTTTCACGTGAGTTTTGATTTCTCAAGATGCTTTATTTGTACTATATTGTCAAATTTTGTTTGCTTTTTTACTGTATTAATTACAACTCCTTTTTTTATGAATTTTGATTACGAACAACCCTTTTGCTCCATGTATCACAGCTTTAGCACAGAGGACAGTTTGTGGGGACCTTTTCTCAGTGTGGTCCATGAAGAACGAGCACGTCAGACTGATCGTAGATACTGGCATATCTCCTCAGACGGCAACTCTCTGACACAGGGTGAGAGAATCCTACGCTAAATAGGTGTAACAATGCACTCGTCTATAAAAATGTATTGCATGGTGACTTACGGACTGTTTTTATCGTCTCAGTCTATCTTATATTAATCACTGTGCTTTTCTCCTCAGGTATCAAAGACTATAAGATTGATTTAGCTCAAAAAATCACCATTAAGAACACTGGATATTGATTCCTCTGCTGGATGCAAGAGAAGAGATGAATGGAATGAAACATTAATATGTTTATGAATTCTATGGATATAATTGTTTCATTTAATTTTCTTGTCATAAATAACTTTGAAGGTTGCCTCACTGATTGTTGCCTCAGTTTGCCTGAATGTTTAAAGGTTCATGAAAACAAGAATCAGAACATATTAACATTGTTTGTATTTTACTTTAGAGATTTAATACACATATATCTTTTGAAATCTAACATGTATTTTTGTGCGATGCTGCAGCTGCTACGAATCTAGATGAACAAATATAAAATACATTTTACCAATATTTAAAAAATGCGTGGCTTCATTAAAATGCAGAGAAAACCGTATCTCACACCATGGAGATAAAATGTTCACTGTAGCACATAGTTGCACTACAGTAATGGAGATGGCTGAAAATAATGACAATATTGTTATGCAAAACGTCTTAAAAAGCACCGAACATATTTTCCCTAACATGATTTTTCATGTAGAACCAAAACCAGCGGAAAACAGCACTTTGGGACATGCTATACATTGTTATGACCACTTGATGGCCACACCGTACTCCGTATTGAAAAGCTTCGAGTAATGAACCCTTTTGCGCTACAGTTGAGAGGAATGCGTCGCAAAGTTCGTTTATTTTATGTACAGCTGTGATATTGCTTCAGACTCTGGTCTTACTGACAGAATGTGAAATCAGTCTACAGATGCAAATGAGCTTTTTTAGGTAACTCTTGTAGTGCACGATTTGATTTCTAATGAAAATAAATGAAATAAACCTTCAACACTGTATAGAGTTTCTGTTTTACTGTCCAACCTCTGTATGTGATATATGTGTCATATTACATTCTCTAGATTTTCAGTGAGCCTTGGTTTTTCAGCCGAACTCGTATCGAGACTTTTATTTTGAAATGTAATCTTCGTGAGTGTAGCTTACCTTACCGCTACGTACTTCACAAATACACAGAGCAACATTTCAATGATTTCATTATTCATAAGCTGTAGGGGATTTAGTATGAGCACACTGCACAGCTAGTAACAAATTTGAGATGTGGAGCTTTGGATCCAAGCCCTCAGTTGTTCTAGTATATACGACAATACCACTGTAAGTACAAGAGCATCCCAAATCTGAGCGAAATCTGTTAGACATACAGTTAACTAGTCAGTTCCGCGTTAGCAGGCTAGTATGTACAAGCTGCTGTCAAAAATCTGACTTGACAGCAATCCACAATTGTACGTTAGTTTATGTACAATTTGCGTTTTTAAAAAGATATTTTGAAGATATGTTTTACTTTTTACATACACTATTTTCTCGGTCCTTTCTATTATGGTAGAAATCGTAGTATCAGGTTTTTCTCAAACTGAGCGAGCTGCTTACCTAGACAGCATATTTGAGCATCATTTTCCACGCGCTTATGGTGTGCCGAAATGTTGTCTAGGTAGGCAGCTTACTAGGTTTTGAGACACAACCTTAGGCATCGCTGCAAATTGGAGTTACTGCAGTGCTCTGCAGCATGTCAATCCATAAAAGAGGCTTGTTATATGTCATTTATATGTCTACAGCTGCATGTCTTCATATAATGCATTGCAGCTTCATTCAGTTCAGTTCACTGTTGTTGTTGTTGTTTTCTTGTATGTTGTAGTAGCAGAAGCTGATCAGCACTTGAATGAGGGTCTTGTAATGCTGGACTGCAGTAGCTGTGTCGTTCTTTGGAAGAGGATCCAGAGATGAATATATTCTGAGATATTATGCTGTGCCAAAGCAGGACTCATTCGCCTCTCAAACTAATGTAGAAATGCTTCATGAGCATTGCAAGAAAACTGTCCACCCACAGACAAACAACCTGGGGACCTCATAGAAGCCTATTTGAGACAAGAATATTCAATATCTATTATATACACCTAGAGGCATAGTTTGGTCAAGATGTTTTCCGCTCTGAAGAAGCTCGTTGGTTCGGAGCCAGCTGGTCAGGTAAAGGACAAGAACATCCCTGTTGGCCTGCAGTCAATGAACCAGAGTCTGCAGAGAAGATTTGCTAAAGGGGTTCAATACAACAGTAAGTCAAATGCCTGATGAGTTAAAATCCTCAGGGGAAATGTATTATTAATGATAATTTATAATTAGAGTGTGCACGTTTTTAGATTGCTTGTAGTTTATTTAATTGTTTTGATGTTTCTTTGCTTTGCCTCAAATTCTTACCAAGATTTAATCCATAAAAGGCCTACATATCGGACTAAATCATAAGGCACACACCATGTCACAACAAATCAAGTCTGTGTTGCTGGAGCCCATAGGCACTGTGTGCTAGAGATAAGAGTATTAACGCAAGCTCTAACATGTTATGTGTGATCTTTCAGTGAAGATAGTTATTCGAGGAGATAGAAACACTGGAAAAAGCACCCTGTGGCATCGGCTGCAGGGTAAGAAGTTCCAGGAAGAGTACATTCCCACTCAGGAGATCCAGGTCACTAGTATTCACTGGAATTACAAAAGTAAGCTTTTTTGAATTTTTTTTAACAGGCTTTTGTACTAAAGAAGTGATTTAAAAAAAAAATCGAATTAATTATTTCTTTCCGTTTATGCATCTTAAATATGTCAAAATAGATTTTCATCAAGGTAAATATGCAGTCTGTCAGGTAGAGGATAAGTAGATTAGTTGTACGTCTTTAAATGGCCTGTATCAAACATTAGAGGCCTAGTAATTGATCTAGAGTATGTTTTCCCTGTATTTACATCCATCTGTAACCTGTTGGCTGTAATTTACTGTGAGGCATCCTGCTTTTGATAGCGGGCATGTTTGTACTTGTATCCAATATGTTACTTGTGCTCATTGCAAAGCACTTCTGGCAAAGTAAAAATTAAAGGAATAGTTCTCCCAAAAAATGAAAATCCAATTTTGCTTCTTCATCAGAACAGAATTTTTTATCAGCTATTTGGACCCTTGTTCTGATGGCAGTGGCACACATTCACTGCAGAAGATCCAGTGATGTAGCGCTAAATTAATCCAAATCTGTTCTAACAAAGAAAATGGATGGTCTGAGGGTACATTTTTATTTTGGGTGAACTATTCCTTTAAGAAAAAAGTAAATGAATAAACAAAAAATCAACAAGTAAAATTCTGAGGCTGTGGACATTTGTATTTGTACTGCCGCTACTTAGAATCACTGCAAAATAAGGTTAGTGAAAGAAATGTAAGGAAGCGACCTCAGTTTTTCAGACCTGCTCAAATTCTTGTCATTTCTCTTCAGCTACTGATGATGTGGTGAAGGTAGAGGTTTGGGATGTGGTGGATAAAGGTGAGTTTCCTCCAGTCTATTTCTCAGAATTCAGATCAGGTGACTTTGTAGACATTATTTTCATATTTATCATAAGGCTGGAACACACTACAAACGTTTTGCACAGTTTTGCAGTCTGGAGGAGTCAGTGCTAATTGCTTAAAGTCAGAAAGCAGATTTTAGGCAGTCAAAGTTGACAGATTTCACAGAAAATCACATAATGTGTGATGGGTGCAAACTATGATTTATTTCTTTTTTGCTTCAGTATGTAATTCCATCCATTTTTAGAGGATATCAAACATTTTCTATTTTAAGCCAATTTTAGAACAATGTTTTTATTTGTCTCATCATGCGTGTTCTAGCAACAAGGAGCATGTTTGTGTTTGTTCAAAATGACTTGAACGTCTAATAGTGTGTGACACTCAGCTGTTTATTGTGTGACGTCCAAATTTTCTCTGTAAGCATTTACAAAGTCTGGAAGTGTATAATGCCTAGTTTTCAAAAATCTGTTGAGGTTTTACAATCCATGTAGTGTATTCTAGCCTTTGTGCATTTTCTGGTTTATGCCTTTTAATGGCAAGTTTAGTGTACAGGTACTGCATGTCATTGTTTAATTCACATACTCCATCTCATTCTGACGGTCATACATGAAGCCATTTCATCCAGCCCTCCTTCATTCCCAGTCATATATATTAATGGTATTTTTCTTACTTGCTGTCCAACCAGGCCAAAAAATCCCCCTTCCAGAAGGTGTAGGTGAGAAACTTCAGAGATTGTAGACTTTAGGCTGTGACTTGCCTGTGCTTGATCCATTTGTTCTGTTATCTGAGCGCCAACATTTTGTGTTGACTGACTTTTCGCTCGCTGCATTCTGGCAGACTACAAATGTAACTAGTCTAACATGTCTGCTGGAACGTGAAGATGTGCAGTGGTGATACCCAGATACCACAGAACACCAACTCTTGCTAATGCCACTAATGTCGCTTCCTTTGTGAAAAGGAAGAAGCCACAAAAACAATTATCTGTTTTTGAAGTTAGTGAAAGTTGTCAAATTGGATGTATTCTTACAATATTTTGGCTTTGACATTCTCTAGGAAAGGGGAAAAAGAGAGGTGAAACCTTGAAGTTGGAGAATGAACCTCAAGAGGTAAATCTATAGTGATAATCTATCAGGTTTTTACAGTTTCACTACTACACTACACTACTATTTTCAAGACTAATAATAATGCAAAATATACCCTGAGCACCAAATCAGCTTATTTGAATGATTTCTGAAGGATCATGTGACACTGAAGACTGGAGTAATAACTGCTAAAAATGCAGCTTTGCCACCACATGAATAAATAACTATTTATATTAAAATAGTAAGCAGTTATTTTAAAGTATAAAAATATTATTAGCATAAGAAAAATCCAAAAGCATAAGAGAAATAAAATAAGCACAAGAGACATCTTTCAGAAACAATACAATAGAATTGTCTCTGTGCCTTTAGCAGACGGAGAGTGAACTGGCCTTGGATGCTGAGTTTTTGGACGTGTATAAGAACTGCAATGGTGTGATCTTGATGTTTGACATCACCAAGCAGTGGTAAGTGAACAAAGACAATCAGCATGATCTCTAAAGACTACTTCTCCATCATGCAGAACTCGCAACAAGCACTTTGTTTTACAAATCTATGCTTTTCATGATCCAATAGGACTTATAATTACATTCTGCGGGAGTTGCCGAAGGTACCCACTCATGTGCCTGTGTGTGTACTCGGAAATTACCGGGACATGGGAGAACACAGAGTCATTTTGCCCGATGACATCCGTGACTTCATTGCTGGCCTTAACAGGTAAGATCACTGCAGTCAACAAAAATGACTAAATTGACCCTTTTTACTGTCTTAATATACATTTCTGATCATTTTGAAAACAAGTGGTCAGTTTATCCATTATTCCAAAGAAAAAAAGAAAAAATGTCTCCATAGCCTTTCTTTAAAATAATATTTGACATTTGCCTTCTTATTTTCAACCACTTAGTTTCACTATCCATTCATAAACGTTGTTTATATTTTATACATTGTGGTGGGTTAAAGTTGAATTTAAGATGAGAAATAATGGACTATGTTCACTAATGAGTTGTTTAAGATCTTGTATTATTCTCAGTGGGCTTTGTTGATGTTTGATGTCCGTCTCCATGATTTTGTAGACCCCTTGGCTCCTCTTACATCCATTATGCAGAATCTTCCATGAAGAACGGTTTTGGTTTAAAATATCTGCACCGATTTTTCAACATTCCGTTCTTACAGCTTCAGGTAAGTAGGTTAATTTTCTAGCCTAGAATATCTCTTCAAGGCTAAAGGTTTATTCAAATCAAACCAGACAGCTACCAGTGGTCATTTGTAAATGTTAAAGGGGTCATATGATGCTTTTTTAAAGATCATTATTTGGTGTATTTGGTGTAACAGAATATGTTGACATGCTTTAATGTTCAAAAAACACATTATTTTTCAAATACTGTACATTATTGTAGGTCCTCTATGGGCGTGTTAGAATGAGCCGTTTTAGGGGGGCGTGGCAGAGTCTTAACTTTTATAAAGAATATCTCTTTGGATTTGAGACTTTAGTCTTTGCAACTTCAGGGATCTTATCTATGCACAATCAGCTTGTAACACTCCAAAGAGAAAGGAAAACTTGAAATCGCATCATATGACCCCTTTAATATCGTCTAAGCTCAATAATATGTCATGAGATCAGTAATCACAGACATCTTTCTCTGCGTGTTTGCCTTTATCTCTGTTCTCATTACCCTAGCTGTTACAGCTTTCATTGAAAGGATAGTGAATGAAACTTTCATTTTAATTTCTACTGCCAACTTCCACAGAGAGAGACCCTGTTACGACAGCTAGGGACCAATCAGTTGGACATTGATGCCACGCTAGAGGAGCTAACAGTTCAGCAGGAGACAGAAGACCAGAATTATGAGATGTAAGAACTAAAGAACATCCCACATAAACTTCCTGTCTGCTGGACAGTCAAAACATTATTCTAAATCAAATATCAGCAACATTCCATGCAAATACAGCTATACAACTGTTCAAAACTTTGGAGTCAATAAGATTTTTTTAAATTAGTACTTTACACTCTTACACTCATTTTAAGAAATTGAAATAAAATGTATTTTATTTAATTAATAACCGCATAAACGTGAAAATGTCAAAAGTGACAGTAAAGACATTTATATATTATATTATATACAAAAAAATATAAATTTTTTAAAATAAATACTGTTCTTTCGAATGTTCTATTTATTGGAGGAAAAAAGGATTGTCACGGTTTCTAGAAGAATTTTAAGCAGCACAACTGGTTTCAACATTGATAATAGTAATTTTTTGAGCACAAAATCAGCATATTAGAATGATTTCTGAAGGATCTTAAAGACTGGAGTAATGGCTGCTGAACCTTTGCCACCACGTTAATAAATTACATTTTAAAATATATTGAACAGAAAACATTGTAAGCATTTTTCACAATATCTTTTGATCAAATAAATGCAGCCTTGGTGAAAACATTCAAAAAATCTTACCAACCACAAACGTTTGAACAGTCGCGTAAATTCCTTCACAAAAGTGACATTGTTCGGCTGTTTGAAATTGTGAGAACATCCACAAATGCCTATTCTTAGATTTCTGAACTGTAGTCAGTGGTGTCTGACTTTTATGATACAGTAGGTGTCTGTTATAACTTTCAGTTTCCTGGAAACTTCCTCTCGTAGTAAAGGCTACAGCTCTCCCGGCCCTGCTAACGGTCAGAGCCCCTCCTCAGGCTCGCAGTCTCCAGTCGTTCCTCAGAGCGGATGCTCCACCAGCAGCTCCAGCCCCTGTAGCCCCCAGCAGCCTCCCATTCCGTCCCAGACCCTGAAGTCTCCATCCCCCTCTCCGTCCCCTCCTCCTCCCCAAGTGGCTGCGACCTCTCCCTCCCCTTCCCCTGCTCACCCCGGCCCGACGGTCTCTGCTCCAGCTCAGGCTTCTGCCTCTGCTCCTCAAACCCAGAAACGCAGCTTCATCTCCAGGCTCTTTGGCTCCGCTCCCACCCAGGATCCTCCAGCAGTCGGTCAGGGTGAGTTTTAGCATGGTGCTTCTAGCTGCAGTGATTGTAAGCTCTTCAACCAACAGCATTTTTGACATTCTCACATTTTTCTTGGATATTGTGCTGTATAACAGCTGTATAACATTTTCAGTGTGCTTGTCATATTAGAAAACACTCAAAACAGAAACATTGAGCTTTTATATGGGACTAAAAACAGCTTTTATGTCTTTCCTCTCCGAATGTTCAGTGTCTCAGTGACTCATTGTTAAAGGACTGTTTCAATGCTATCAACTGCAGAAGAGATTTGAAGGCTAAGAGGAATTCACACACACACACACACAATCTCAAAGAGATTTTTTCCCCGAGCGAGACCCACAATGCCGTGAAAAATAGGGAGGATTAGGACTCGTGCACATCATAAGGATGTGTTGTGGATCAATAGAAAATCACAAGACCTTGTGCATTTCTGAGTTATGGAGAGGGTTTTATTAGCTCTTGCACACCACCTAAAGGAGCTAACCGTATCTATTTTGAAAAAATAAGATTTCACTATATCAATTTTTTTCGTGCATTACCGTTCCTCTTGTTTGGAGCTTTTTGCAATTGCTGCTGTTTATATATTTTTAATGTAAGATGTTTTTGCCCCAGATCATGTGACCTCTTGCTTCTTGGATTTCCACAGATCCAGTCTCTGCAGCGGCTCCGCCTACAGTTCAGAGCGTGGATGATTTTGTGCCAGACGAGGGACTAGACAAAAGCTTCTTAGAGGACAGTCTCCCTTCTAACCCAAAACCGGCTATGAACACCCAGCCCTCTGCTGTGGGCCCTGCAGATAGTGACAGGTACATTATATATATATATATATATATATATATATATATATATTGAAAGAAGACATTTTTTTTAAACTTTTATTATGTGATATGCTATTTACAGTATACACTACCATTCAAAAGTTTGGGATCAATAAGGTTTTTAAAATGTTTTTGAAAGAATTCTCCTATGCTCACCAAAACTGAGTAAAAAGAGTAATATTGTGAAATATTATGATTTAAATAACGGTTTTAATATATTGTACAATGTAATTTATTCCTGTGATGAAAAAAGAACAGCATTTACTTAAAGTAGAATTTTTTTTTTGTAACATTATAAATCTCTTTATTGTCAATTAAATTTCTTTATTGCTGAATAAGGGTATTAATTCTTTAAAAAATAAATAAAATAAAATATTCTCTCCCCAAACTTTTTAACTGGCGGTGTACTGTTACATGTAAATGAACTTAGCTAGTGGTTTCTTTGTGATTTTGTCTGTGAGACAAAATGGCTGATCAGTACAACAAAATGGTTGAATTTGCATCCATGTTTGTAACATGTTTAATTTAGTGATGGGGGAGGAAAAGACGGGAACCCCATGGTCGCTGGGTTCCAGGATGATTTGGACCCTGATGATGCAGAACTTGAACCCAGAGCTTCTATCCCCACTAAAGACTTGGACATCATTCTCTCCAGTGATGAGGAGGGTCCAAACCCTTCTGTAGCTCAGGATGAAGATCTGAACCCTGGACCTCACCTGTAAGCTTAGAATCCTGGCTTTCATTATTGATAAAATTAAACTGTATTTAAAGGTGGGGTAAGCGATTTCTGGTAGCCAATGTTGACATTTGAAATCACCAAAACAAACACGCCCCTACCCCAAAAGGGTCTCGCCCCTATTTTGATAGCTCCGCCCCACACATACGTACGCAACCCAGGCAACGATTAGTTCTGTGAAACCACAAAACCAATGTTACACCGTGTCTACACTGGACACGAGCGGCGCGACAAAATACTATAGAGCTCATTATAATCAGTGATGCTGTGTACACCATAGATATATATACATGCTGCTGCTGTGTTCTATTTATGACATATTGACACAAATTTCAAATGATTTTCAACGGTCGCTTTGTCGCGTCCAGTGTACTAGACAGACTTTAGCTGTTGCGGCGCAGACACGGTCCGTCTGTATCTTTCTGTCGCTCGGCTCGGCTAATGTTCGTCCTGTGCACTGAACGCTCTCTCCTCCACATCATGAGTAGACATGCCCCTTACTGCTGATTGGCTACAAGTTTGTTTTGCTATTCGGCCCGAATCAGTTTTCTAAAGCGTTTTTGGAAAATCGCTTACCCCACCTTTAATGAGTGAGATCTTAATTAACTTGTATATAGTCACTGAAGCAAGTTTAGAATTTTGTGTTGTGGGCAACATTTACTTTGTTTCCTGAACACAGTCTGGTTTTCATGGTGATTGTTAATAATATTTGTTTATTCAAAATACTAGAATATTTTTTGTAATGTTACTGGGTTGTTTTTTTTTCTCTTTTTTTCAGTGAGGCTGTATTGCATTTAAGTTTGTTTATTTTTTACTTTTTTTCTCTTGTACTAATAATGAAAGCAAGTTAGCAAAGACGGCAGACAATGTTCGACTTCACTTCAGCTTCAAGTCTGATACAGTGTGTGCAATGATAAAAAAAATCAAATGGTTATATATGCATTCTTTCATCAAAATCGTGTTGAATTGTGTGTTCATTGATGCTTTGTTACATTGACATTTGTTGTTTTTTTTAATAAAAAGAAAATGTAATAAGTTCAGGCATATTATTTGAAGGAAAAAAACATACACTTATTTATATATATATATGTATCCCTTTAAGATAAACATTTCACATGAATGACACATGCAATAACAATAAGGTTATTTATTTATAAGCACCAAATTGTACGTTGATTTACATAACAAATGAAACAATATTGTCATGCTGCTTGTCCCTGTGAACCTTTTTGTATTTAAAAACAAAAAAAAGCAAAACAATTACAAGGAATTACAACAACAGAAACTGTACATTTACACTCGATGGTGGCTTAAGTTAAATGATATTCTGTTTATTCTTCAGTAAAGGTGACGGCCTCATTCTTCCATCCGCTTTTCTGTGGCATGTGACATCATGTAATGTGTTATGTTGTCTGCAAATAGGATAATTTCAGTTAAAAAAACACATTTTATTGATTGTTATCAGCGGAGACTAAATGAGATAAAAATGAACCCGTGCGCTCTTACCTTAGTATCTCCATGTTTTCCTATGGTCAGCAAAACAGAGTGACATGTAATCAAATAAAAATAAACATTTACAGAGGTTAAAGACGTGTTCAAAGCTTTTTTTTTAGTGGGCTATTGAGGTTTTTAGTATTGAGGTGGTTTGCGAGGACTCACTGTTTGAATAAATGCGAGTTGAAATGATCGCCACAGGGAGCAAAATAAATAAAATCCAGCGGAGGATGGACCAAACAAAGTTAAATGGAGCTGCAATTGATATGATCATAGATTAATAAATTGTAAAAACATTTCTTTTAATAGTAAAAGACAGTTAAAATGCTATGGTAAAAATCTGTTAATTAACGTTACGTTGAAAAACAGTAAGAAATCTAAAGGGGCATTTCATGTAACTTACTTAAACAGTAAAATACTCTTAAATTTACAGTTGTTGGATGTGGAAAAAAGTTGTCTTTTACAGTCAAAAAATGTAAACTGAAATTCCCAAAATTCGCTGTGTGACACTTCACATTTGATATTTTTCAGGAACAAAACAGAAGTCCGTCAGGAGGATGGTACATTAACATTCGCTTAAATTGATTAATGAAATATAGCCTACGATTTTTACTACTTAAATCCATAAAACCTTAAATGTTGCTTCCGTAAAGTTTCCTGTTGATTGAAAATTGAAATCAATACAAAAATACTAGAATATTTTTTGTAATGTTACTGGGTTGTTTTTTTTTCTCTTTTTTTCAGTGAGGCTATATTGCATTTAAGTTTGTTTATTTTTTACTTTTTTTCTCTTGTAGTAACCGCAATTGCTTTTTTTTTTCTTTACCGTAAATTCCAGAGATATTTATTTTAAAATAAATTTTAGGAATTTAAAATTAAAATGAAGAAAATTAAAACATGCTAAAAATATTTTTAACATGGTGCTCACTTACACTCAGGAAACCATCTAAAGAGAAATAGGGAAGTAGTATTTCATCTTACTGTTGCTAAAGTAACCCTCGGCCAGTTTTACGATGATCTTGTCTTCAGTCATGAACCCACACCAGTAGACTCCATCCCCTTGCGTGAGTGTCTTTACCGAGACGGTGAAGGACTTTCCATCATCCTCCACAGCTATGTTGCCTTGCTCCAAAAGCTTGACGCTTGGCTGGAAAGAGAAGCCCTTACAGCAGTTTTCATCCTGGGCATCTCTTTTGCACCACACCCTGGGCCTGTTCAGAGTTATATTCTTGTTCTCATAGGAGCAGAAGAGTTGCTGCAGATATTCAGATGTGCTATGTCCTGTGGAGAAAGATCAAGTTTGTCCTCTGTGAGATTTTTATCAGGTATAAAATCAACAAATGTTGGACAAAAGCTGTCCTGAGAAGAGCCTTTGGATTGTTTATGTGTGTTTTGACCTTACCTGTTAGGATCATTAGCAGAAATGCGGTTATTAGATTCATGATGACTGATGGACGACAGATAGTGCTTTGAGTCTGCAAGGATGCACTGCTCTTAAATGTTGTAGAAGAGGAAACACATACAGGAAATAACTCGCCACAAACACATGTAGAAAGAACATGCTTTTTGTTATGCAGTCAGCAGAAATCACTCTAATGGTCATCATTGAATGGTTTCAAGGACAATTTCATAAATTTGCCTTTTTTTAATTGTTTGTTTAATTTTTGTTTTTCTTGAATTTTGTCTCTCTCTCTCTCTCTCTCTCTCTCTCTCTCTCTATATATATATATATATATAAATTTAGGCTTACTAAGGCTTAAAGATTTTTTAGGTCTCTTATGCTTCTAATGCTCACAAGCTGCATTTATTTGGAGACAAAAACTGTAAAAACAGTATAGGCTTAATAGGTCTATTGTGAAATATTATTACAATTTAAACAGTTTTATGTGGTGGCAAAACATTTCTTGCAGCCATTTCACAGTCTTCAGTGTCACATGATTCTTCTTAATCTTAAATAATTTGAATATGCTGATTTGGTCCTCAAGAAACATTTTTGATAAATCTTTCAAACAATATTTTAGTATTAGTATTATTTTAAATAATTAATTATATGACTATTTTGGTGAAACCGTCGTACCTTCCAGTGTTTAATTATTGATTGATTGATTGATTGATTGATTGGTGAATAGAAATGGACAGAAAAGAACAGCATTTACTTGAAACCAGAAAACCGTTTCTGCTGTCGCTCCTCTCCAAAGATTTAAAATAAAGGCCTACTAGGGACTGTCTCATCGCGTATAGCCGTAGTTGAGGCTTGTTGTGACAAAAACTCTGGTTAACATGGAAAAGCTTATAGGACACGGTGTTAGTGTCACTATTGATCAATTTAATGCATCCTTGCTGTAGTTTATATGTATTATTGGTGATTTAAAATAATAATAATAATAATCTTTTATACTATCAATTACTGTACCCAGAAATTAGAGACCCGTTTTCTGGCACACGCACCCACAGGGCCAGTTGTGAACTTTTATTTTGAAAGGGCGTGACACTTTTGTTCGTCGTCAGTGATTGGATGAGCGGATTGACCAACAGGAATTCGTGATAGTAGACTGTAAGGCTGAATTGTCACGTTTAGTTGTTCAAAATGGTAAGTACAACATAACGCATTTAAATTATCCTGATAAATGTCAAATTTGTTAGACGTATTTTTGTTTTGCCTGTAATTCTTTTAACGTGGTTTAATTCTCGCGCGCTACATAGAGCAGTCGTTTATCAAGCCAGTCATTGCTTTCCTGATTGTGTTGTAGTGTAATCA